AGCTTGCTGACACATGGATGCCACAGAGCGATCATCCATGTTCAACATCCGGTGCCCAAGCGTCTTATCCAGTGCGCGCATCTCATGAGGCATAGATGATCATAGATTCATGCCTGGCCATTGGAAAAGTGAAGTGGCACCATACCTCTGGTGCTTTCTGTTGCACTCCATGTCCAAAGATGCCCGACTCATGACTCATGACCAGACCCGTGAAGGAGCCAAGAAGTCCAGGTGTTTTCCGCTTCCACATGTTTCCACCCTTCCAACGTTGGAAAATAGGAGTCAGGAGTCAGGGCATATGATGTTCGATAAGACCCGATCTCTTGGGCCCTCCCACTGCCAGGGAAGACGGACTCAGGAGATTTGTGTCTCGCAATATGAAAACGGAAAGCCCAATTCTGGCGACGTCGTTGGATTCGGAATTTCCGATGGCGACTCATCTCGGACCGGACCGGCCAGGAGATTTGCCTGCGAAATGCTCAGAAGAAGTGGGTCTCCTTAAGAATCCAGGGGGGGATGGAGGTGATCAGACGCCTTCATGGAGGTGGTCCGGTGTCAGGTGGTCAGACTTTTGCGCCAGACCGGAAGCGCTTAAGGACCGAGAAGGGTGTCCTTTGACTCTGTGCTTGTCTTGGGAGGGCGAGCCTCTGATTTTGCCACGTGCGACTTCCAATGAGTTGACACCGCAATCAACGTATATCAACAACTGTGTGCTTTCAAACAGGGAACCCCCCCACCAACGGGTTGTGGCATGTTGTGGTCTATTTTCCTTCTTCCAGAGGGTCTTTGGGATGCACATCCACATGATGATCCACTCCTGTAAGGCAAGAAAGCAGCACACTCCGACGAACACACCACATCGAAATCGAACACGGCCCTGTTTTCGAAGGAACGTCCTTTGCCCAGGCCCCAACTTCCACGTTTGATGGTATTTCTTCTGCACGAACTCCCAACTCCAAAATAATCAAAAATATATGTTGCCGCATGAGGCTTCATTTTGCTCCTCAATCGAATCATACGCATTTCCTCTCCACTCTGGTCCCCGAAGACTTCCTTTAGAACAACTTGGGATGGTTGACTTGGGGTCCTCCATTGGAGTCCTTCATGTCCTCTCGAACGATCAAAGATGCTCAAATAAGAGGAGAGGAGAACTCCTGCCTCCCAGACTGTGGTGTTTCTTGATGCCTTTTTTTCGTGACGTAACACGTTCTCTATTGCTGATGTTTACTCTTTTTTTGAGGACTGTGAGGCAACACTGTGGTTGAAGATTCTCACACCCAACGCCTCTTCAGCCTTGGAGGACTCTGTGCTGTCTCATTTGTCTCTTTAAAATGACCATCAATGATCATTTTACCACCACAATGCATCTACAAACAATTCTGGTGATTTGAGCTGCTTCGCACGCTCCGCCTCTACCAAACCACCCAGCCCCGTCCGACACCACGGCGCGAGCGGCCCGCGCCGACGCACGAGGCGCAGCGTCTTTGAATCGAGCCGACAGCGATGTGAAGCCGTGCGGCCCTCGACCGATCCAAGCCATGGCCATTTCCCCTTGGAAAAGCGTCGCCGATGTATTTGTGGAAGGGTGATCACCGATGTCTAGGATCAACCCAAATGGTCAGGGGGAGGACGGCAAAGGCCCATTTTGGGGATGAGCCGCCTGGGACCTCCAGGATTTAGGGACCCGACTGAGAAAACAGCCGTAGCAGAGCAACCCAGTTATTGTGGAAGAGGAGAATGTCCCACACCAAGGCAGCTAGGCATGGCTAGGCAACCTAGGTATGCAGGTTCTTTTCAGCGTGAGTGGCCTGGCTTTGGTGTCAAGTCCATGACAGAGCCAAGAATAGTACATTCATGATTATGACTGCCTGGTGCTAAGCACGCAAATGTCCAACTCATCAGTTCTTTGTCTGTACTGTAGATGGAGAGGGAACAAGGCCAAACTGAATGGTATTGGACAGGAGCTCTACTGGCTAAACGGCTGAACGTTTGGATGAGTCTATAAAAACCATCTACTGGCACACCAGACGCACACATCTAGCTCCTTCCTCAGCTATTTGTTATCCCACGAGACCTTTTCATGCCGTGGCCGCGAAGCCGCTCAGGTGACGGGTCGTTGGGGCTCCCAGACTCGCCGTGCGAGACATGTCCAGTGCTAGACCTCTGAGGGGGTGCCAGGAATATATGGCCGCATGGTGCTAGAATATGCGCGCATTTTGTTGACATCGTATCAAACACAACTTCACAATTATTGTGAAGTCGTGCTTGATTGTGTTATTATGTATGTATTGTAATGTATTGTACTATTGTGAAGTTTTGGATTGAATTTGAACCATTGAATGACTTCGAGCGTGGGCACACGACGACGGACGAGAACCAACCACCTTTTCATCAAGGCGTCCTAGATGTCAGCAGTCCATTCTGGTTGGTCTTCAGAACATGGTCATCCGAACTGCTATGCCTGGTCCAATCTGTTGTTCCTGAGATGCTGGGAGGCTGGATGAGGCTGGGAGGCTGGATGAGGCTGGGAGGCTGACCTCCCCAGTAGTCTAATCTCTTCTTGTGATGTGATCAACCAAGGTCCCAAGGTCTTGACCCACAGCCACCATCAGCAGGTCAATCACGACGTGGGAGGATGTGGGAGGACATGACCATTCAGGTCCTCCTACGAGTCTTGAATTTCGCGATTGTCCCATGATGGTCCCCCCAGATCTTCTGCAGTTACACCCGGACCTCACGTTCAAGTGGAGCTCGCCATCACCTGTTTGCTCTTCGGAACATGGTCTTCCGAGCGACTCCGACCAGCGACCGTCCTCAGGCTGGTGGAGCGACTCCGAGCTGCGTGGCTCCCAGCAGCCGAACTCGCAGTGGGGGCGCCCCGTGGGGGGAGGTGCGGAAGATGTGGTGAGACTGAGGGAAGGTGTGAAAAGACCCGTGGAAAGATGCCCAGAACCCTTTTGAGACTGGAAATCGTATGGGCATCAATTAGAATATCATAATGGGAGGGTGAGGGTATATCATCATGTGGTCTTGAGGCAAAGATAAGCTCAAGGCGACGCAACACCCTACTCGGATGTGGAAGCGCCTTTAGCAGACGGTGTTGTTGCCAAGAGAAACTGAAGAAACTGGAACAACGATGGAGCATGGGTCCCTGACTGTGGCCAGTAACAATACGACGCGTCCCCCGGCAGGTCTCCTGTAAAGCGCGGGAAGTCCCAAGACGAGTCCCTTCAACGAAAGTCGAACACGTCAAGACCATGTGCACCTCAGTTCCGACGTGGCAACGACATCCCAAAGACTCCTGTGTGAGCCAACCCTGCGGAGCAACCAAAGACGACATGGGAATTTGGACCAGAACTTTTTCTGACAGCCAGACCGAAGAGCCTTCCCAAGGGGCCTGCCGCGCTGTCCTCCACGGCCGCCACAGGTCCTCCGTTCACTCCATACACCGTTCACCACCAAGAGCGTGGAAGCCGAGTGGAAAGAGAGAAAGGACCATGAAGACAAGAGAAAGGACACACACCCCTGGAACAATCACGGAAGTGGATGGCCCTTTGAGGGGTGAACTCCACCTTCCATATGACTCTGAGAGTGGAATGCAGAACCCCGCACCGTTGGAACCTTCAAGCTGTGTTGGTGCAATGAGTCCCAAAAGGCCTGCCTTTTCACGGGGCTTTAAGGATGGTCGGTCCTGAAGAGCATTTTTACATTTATAAACATCATATACCAGCACTAGCACCTTCAAAGGGGTCACCAATGGATACCAGCACTAGCACCTTCAAAGGGGTCACCAATGGAATGGAAGCCCCTACACTACTAAGGGACCTCCATTGGACACCCATTGAAGGTCCGGGCGTACGTTATATTTTTAATTTCTAATTTCTATAGTTTCGGAAAACAGACGTTAAACTCCCCGAAATAATCATGGAAGTGGAACACTACCTGTGTGGTATTCGGAGCCAGGATTGTTTCAGGGAGCATGCCGCATGCCCTTTCAGTCTTTGGGAGGCTCTTGGAAGAGCGACAAAAAGACTGGGTCTTGTTCCAATGGGTTACTGCACAGTAACCCAAGTGTTGACACTCAGCTGATGCAGAGAGAACGCACATGTGTTTTTTGGGCGGCAGCAGGGGGAACTGCCTCGGTGTTCGTGTTGAAGGCTTCCATCAAAAGGCCGACCCGGTGTCAAGTGCCAACCACTTTCTGAATATTCTTAATCACTCATGAAGGTCAAGCCTGCGATTCTAAGTCCTCTAACTGGTTGGTTTTGGGTTTTATATAGATCACAAGGGAATTGCGCCCGTCTAGATCCAGTTAGTGAAGTCATGTGAATTGATTGTTTCATCCACTTGGCCACTGACCTTAAACTGGCCCGTTCCATCACAACTACAGCAGAAGCTGTTGGCTTAGGTGGATGAACACTCATCTAATCTATATAAGTTAAGGCCATTTCTTCGTTGACCAGCGCTGTTGAACACAAGTCCCCCCAAGAAAACCACTGCAGTTCTGTAGGTTGCTTGTTGTATATATTGATAGACGGTGAATTGGTGAATCGCAGAAGACCTTGGAGACCGTGGAGAACCTTCCAACCTTCGCAGCTCAGCAGTCGTCTTCGTTCCGTCTCGTTCCGCCGGTGCGGAGGAGTCGAAGCAACGCACCGGATTTCCACACGTCAGACATGGGATGCAAAACCAACATGCGCTGCTCCAAGCAAATGGCCGTTTTCACGGATCTTACGTTGTTTCAAAGTTTATCGTGTTTGTTTTTGCGCCTTTCGGATTTCCAGGTTGTCGCAGAATTCAGGCAGAATTCCAACCCTGAACTCGATGAAGAGCCATTGACACTCTTGGGCGAAGATGCCTCTAGCTGCTGCAGCTCCAACCAGCTCAGGGATAGAACAGCCTGCTAGCTGTGGGAGGTTTCATGGGCTGCCCGGATCAGTGCACCTTTCAAGAATCTGTGAAATCATGGAATCCCTTCTGGAAGACCCACAAAGGATCGCCTCACGTCAGCGCTTTCACCGGGCCATTCCGTGATCTGCTCATGTCAGCGCCATGTGATGAGCTGCCACAGTGAGCAGTTGGATGAAGTGGAAGCGTTGCAAGCCATTTATCACGAGGATGTCGAAATCCTTTGTGATGATGAGGGACTCTTGGCGTGCATGTATCACGATGTACGGCAGTGGATCAAAACCTCACTCTAACCATGGGTTCGGTTGACATCCCTTGCAGAGGGATCTGCCGGGTCCCCCTGTGACAGATCCCGAAAGCCGTACATGGAAGTCGTACATGCTTTGCTCCGCTGAATAGCTTTGAATTTAATCTTGTTGGGGATCCCTGAACCTATGGGGAATCCCCAAGCTTGGAAATGAATGGTGTATGATATGGATGTCAAAAACAACATGTCTACATTCCAGGAATGCTCCTTCTGTATAGGACCCCCATAGTTCCATCATCCAGCGCACCTATTGAGGCCATGATTCCAATCATTAGTCCAGGAAACAAAGAAATGACCTTTGCATTGAACTTCACCCATTCATCCTGAAAAACTCCAGTTCTGCCGTTCTGCCCTTCAGAACTCTTTCCTTCACCCAGACTAGTTCGGCCTGTTCAGTGTCCTTCACCCCAGGCTCAGTGTCCTTGGTGGTGCACATCCACCCGGACTTGGCCCAGAAGCTTCTGCTGCGTGTGGAGGTTACCGCTGAGACCCCGGTGACCGAGGGCGATCCCAAAGGCGGCTATGCCGAGGCGCGGCGCACCCCCGAATGTTTTGGCCCGTCGTAGGGCCCCAGCCGACCGAGTGTGAGGTGGTTCACATGTTCTGCCTTGGAAGCAAAACTGTGCCAGCTCGCAGGGTCACGAATTCGTTGGATTCTCGCCCGCATCCCTGAAAAACGGCACAGTCTTGGTGTTCTACCGGTCCGTGTTTGGGGCCTGATATGTGCAGAGGCATGTCTTTGTGCGGTGGCAGCTGCAGGCACCCAATGTCATGGAGATGGCCCGCCGCAAGGTGGCTGGTTCTGCAGCTCCGGCGAAGCCCGCACTGGCGCGGAGTGAAAGTGGGCAGCACGTGTCGCACGCTGATCCTTGGAGATGTGACGCGTGATGGAACCCGGGGGCCCCCGGTATCGGCCGGTACCCTTGCAGATGTGAGAAACTGGAAGAAGAGAAAGATCGATGGTTTGCTTGTTGGGAGATCGGGAGATTTGCTACAAATTGTGATGTTTGGGGGTGTTTTATTGGGGTTGGCATGGTTTGGGTCAAAAATGGATACAATACGAGCTTGGGCCTTCCAATTCGACCAATTCCAGGAAGCAGAGCTGCAGCATTTGCCTCCCTTGCGTTTGCAGCTGAAACTGCCCGCAGACTATCCTTCAAGCTCGCCACCCACCTTCCAGCTCGCCAGCTCCTGGTTGGACGTCGACGTCCTCTCGGCCCTGCGATTGCAATTTGTCCCACAGGTGTGATTGACCTCATGTGGCAGCGGCATGATTTGTGATGTTTAGGGTCAGAGGAATGTGGGGATCAATGCATGGAAAATCCCGAAGGAGTGCGAAACTCTCACCCTTTGGGGTGGTACTGCACTGACGAAGACTAAGTCGTGGCCAAGTATATATTTCTAGAGAGGTTGAGCAGCCCTTAGGTGTTCACTGGAACACCACCATAGGCTCTAGGCCCAGTCATGGCCGCACCAAACCGGCGCAGTGCTCAAATTCGACTGGAATTCACCTATAGAACCAAGTAGACGAAGGTGCCTGAAACTCAAGAGTTTTAGACAGTTTTAGATATGTCCGTCCCAGATCCACGGACCATGGTCCCAGTGCATCCTGCCAGCGATCGGCAACCGGAGGAACAGAAACTGGTCTGTCCATCCTGAGCTTTGTTTCGTATGATAGGAGTGGGTGGTGTGATCACCTGGATGATGCTGTTTAGGTGATTTAATCTTTGGATTGCCCTCCAGGTTGCAAACATGAGCTAAGTCATGAGCTAATTTGCTGGTGTCCAGTCATCCACTGTGCCGAGTTCTCGGCTGCTGGAGTTGATTCGCAGTCAGCCAGTTGAGGTTTGCTCAGCCTAGGGTGGGGACTGTCCAAGAAAATTCACTGTCCCACACGACAGATCACGACAGCACTGCCCACTCGCACAAGCGCTGCACATCCAGGTCCTGTGTGAGAGCCTAGATCAGAAATGGCTCGAAGCAGCGCTTTGGCTGCGATTCGTGCAGGCTGCCATGAATGGACCACACAGAAACTTACAGCGCATGACAAACGACAAACACCTACATATGAAAGTATAGAGCAAAGCAGCCTTTCGATTCAGCAAAGTCACACGATTCATCCTGGTTGGCGTGATGCGTTCTGTGTTTGTTTGTATATATTGGGTACTTGTGCTTTTAAGTGTTGCAACCCTGGAGCAGACACAAGAGGGAACAGATGTTTGGCTATCAAAACAATCTGAAGGCCCATAAATCTTACGTTCATGATGGTCGTGAACACGGCCATTTTGTTCGACCTTTTTTACCGTGTTAGGAGGAAAGATAGCAAACTGAAACGGAGTAGCCAAATGCAACCCTTCAAAATTTCATCCCAGCCCTTCCACATTTCCAAGTGTCCATCAATTTGGACTTTGGACCGATCTTTCAATTTTGTCGTCGACAGACCGAGGAAGGCTCTCCGATCATCTTCACCTGGGCGGAAGCCTTGCGCTATGAAGTCCCTGAAGCCATCGGCACCGGCCCTGTGGTGCTGAGGGCGCCAGGTGCACCAGGGCTGCAAGGAAGTTCCGGGGCTACGAGGTGGCAATGATTCACCCCCCCCAAGCACAATGATTCTTTAGTGGTTATACTTCGAGATTGTACATCATCTTGTTGGGGCACATTCATTTGCATCAACGTCCCTATCATCCGTGTTTCCAGGCATCAACATGATATATATATATATAGAGAGAGCTTGTTTTCTCCTCCTCTGCACTTAAGACAGACTGCTTGTGTTTGGGCACCCGACGTTCGTGAACCGTCGCTTTGGGCTTGGGCTTCACCGTCGACCGAGGACGGATCCGACCAGCGAGCACGGTCAGAATGCACGAGCGAGCCTCGGCACGGCTGTGGCGTGGAACAGGGCGTGTCGCCGTTCGCGGGCGCGCTGGCGGACCACCGGGCTTTCGTCGTCGTCAGGGGCGTCGGTTTTTGCGGTGAAGGGCAGAGATCTTGATTTGTTTGGAGCTCTCTCTGATTCTGCTTCAAGGCTCTGGTATACTATGGTATACTGGATTCGAGGGATGGTCAACCTGACAAGTGTGTGGGATGATTGATTGGGATTGGACATGGGGTAGATATAGGAAGTTTCCTGTACTCTCAACTCGGGTTGAACGAACTCGCAAATCCCAAGATACACTTGGATGTTTCCACATCATGTTGAAACCAAACAAGATAAACATTCACCTTGTCGACTATGCACAGTTGGTCCCAAATGATATGATGTCTTTTTTGTTTTATTGTTTCCGGATGAACACGCTTTTCACCCTTCCATCCAACTTGAGCCCAGTCCAGCCAGCAAATCATCCCAGGAGCCCATGCAAACCTTACTGGATCTTCTTCTCTACGACAAGTGTCGTGGCCTTGACCTGTCCCTTGGCAAATCTGCGAAGGGACAAAAAGGGGGCGCAACACTGTGTGGGGATGTGTGACCAAGAGCGGATAACAAGGGAGGTGGGCACTTGGGCAACCGAGTTTTCCAACATGGAGGTCAACAATCCGACGGTGCTTAATGATATCATATAAGGGGATGGCCTTGCTTCCTGATTTCTGCGGTATGTGGTGATTTTTTTTGTGTGTGTGTGTGTTTAAGTTTAAGTTCTGTTTGTGGGTTGAGGAGTGGCCCAGTGATTTCATTTGCCCATGCGCATGGTGACCTCAACCATGGTTTGTCGCCACAATGCACAGGAACCCCCTTTCGACCTTCCAACGCACCCGTTGTTTGACACGAGTCGTTGTAGCATGCTGTGACAGTTTTGTGACACGGCCATCGCGTTTCCAGAGGCATCACAGTTGCAGCAGGTAGGCATGAAGGATTGGTATTCTCAGAAGTTCCTACCTGGCAGATTGAAATCGTTGAAATCAGGTCATGCCTTTTTCAGACAGAATTGCATGCAAATTGAGCTAGATGGCGCAGATGCGCGACACGGCGGCATCAAACGTTTTGATGCTGCCGCGTCACGCGGAGGGGACGATCTAAAGAATGTGTCAGCAACCCAAACGCGCGCCGGACCCATGAATTAAGTGGTCCTGGTGACCAGTGGGTTTGGACATGTTTGGACAGCATGGGCTCATTGTTGGCGAACAGATCGAGGAGACGTTGCCTTCTTTAAGACCTTCGTTTTATTGGCCCAAGCAGCACGCAGTTCAACTGCTTGATCCATAAACGGACGTTCTTCGAGGAGAGGCAGCTTTTGTTCCATTTCTTGGTTGGCAAATGGAAGACAAGCTGACGGAAGACCTTTGGAAACTCAGAGACCCACAGTTTCATTCTCCCCTTGGGGCCAGCCTTCTCCAGCTCTATGAAGGTCTCGAGCAGGAGAGTTTGTATTCTTCAATCCTGCTAAGAGGGCAATGTAAGTCTGGGAAGGTCGAATCCGTGTGCATCGAATCTATGCCTTGGAACCCCCGGAAGGCCTTCATTGTTTGGTCCCCATTCCCTTCTGAGCGTGAAGGAAACAACAAAAAAGTGGCAGGGGCCCTGGGCATCAGGGAACGGTAGCAAAATGTTTTGTGTTGACCACCGGGTCGCTTCGGTCACTGGACGGTACCACTGGTTGATTTGTTGAATTGGGTCACCAGGATTCCACCCTTGGCTGGTCCCCTGCCGCTGTCTCCTGGTCAACCTTGGGCAGGTGGTGGGCCAGGTCGATGGTTACAGGTTAAACCGGTTAAAGAAATTCTAGCATGATCGTCCTCCCTTCCCTCTAGGGGTACCTACACCACAGACAGTTGCCCAACCCTTAGATAGAAAGAGAGAGAGAGAGAGGGGCAGGGGCAGGAGAGAGCAAGAGAGAGCCTGAGATGAAGGTGGAAACAGCAGCAGCATCTGTGCAATATTTGCTTCTCCGATCCTTGGCATTTGGCAGTATGGAATACCCTGGAGCCGAGCCCTGCTGTGATTAGCCACCCCAGGCTGAGTTGGAACCGAGCTAGTAGGCAGTAGGCAGCGTTCGCAGGACCCAAGGTTCAGACTTTTGGACCACCCAATTCTACGGTAAAGAGCTCTTCGGATCCCCATGCCCCTGTAGACCGTGGTCCATCGGTTTCACGGTTTGCCTAAGTTCGGTTGATATGTTTGGGTGGGTCTCTTGCTGGGTAAAAAGCTGAGCTGAAATCCTGAGCATATCGATCGTTTGAACCGCAGTGATCAGATGCAGAACATGTGCCTGTGGGTCAGAACCAAGCCCTGGCAGGTTGACCTGGTAGGTAGTGTTTCTCTTTGTTTATGTATGACAATGTTAGTGATGCACTTAAAACTTGTGCGGCATAATTGATTGGCTTCTTCACCTCAGGAAGTCTATAGGTGAGTGACTCGGCTAGTGATTTCAGGGTAGATGGCACACCCCGCTGGAGCATTTTGGATAATCCAGATGCTGCATAATGCTTCATCTAGAGCCTTTGGACGGTTGGCACCTCAAATCCATCCAAATCCCACTTCTGCCCCTCTGCCGCCGACCCAGGAGCAGCCTGGGTCACAATTCATTCACCTGGGTGAATGCTCCCATGCATTCTGTGCCTTAGTCTGTACATACCTGATCATACCTGGACTACTGTCCAGGACACCCAGTGGAGTGTTTTGGCACGTAGTTTCTTACACAATTCTTCTTCAAAGACTGCACTTCAAGTTGCGGGTTTAAATGGACCCAGTTTGGTGAAGGTTGTTGTTTTCAATGCCTCCATCTTATTGAATGGATCTCAGGGATTCCGGCATGGCCTGGCTATTTTTGAAAAGGAGTAGCCAAGAGGTGAGTCTTCTGATCATTTCATCATACGTGGGTTTCACATGGTCTCACTACTGTCAGAGAACCGAAGCACAACAACAGCCATTGGCCACTAGGCCCCCTTTTCGGCGGAATGCACACGTCATCAATACCTCATTTCGGCGGAATGCACCAGGAACTATGTGATGTGCAAATTGCCAAAGTGCACAGTTTCATCAGCATACATACAGAGATTGGTAGCCTCATGTTGACCACCACCTTGGCTCGCTGATCGGAACATCCCAAGTGATTCGGTTGGAGTTTCGAAGTGTAAGAAACGGCACTGGAAAGGCTGAGGCTTAGATGTGCTTCTTTAAGTCGTCAACCATGGTAAGCATATCAAAACTGGATCCGTTTTTTTGCATGCCATGCAGTTGTGCCTCACAATGGAATCATGGAAGAGAGACCCACCTCGTGGAGGACTGATTGCCTTCAAATGGTGTGCATTCAATGTGTATTTTTGTAGCCAGCCATGTGGATGAAAACTGTGAAAAGACCACGAGGCAACATCATTTGTAGAGGCAACATCGCATCATAAACGTCCAAATTTGTGGTGGTAAAGCAAACGCAGATGGAACGTAACCACTAAGTCACAAGGCGTTGGGGACAAAGACATGAGCGGCTATTCCGATGCTCTCTTCTTGAAAGCCCGCAAGCACGCAATCACCATTGGCTGCACTCTTTGAGTCATCTATATTGTTTTGTAAGCTACATCAGACAAAAGGACATACCTGGTTTCAGAGCTGAATCCCATCTCACTGTACAGATCTGCCCCAGGTGGACAGGACTAGTCTGAAAGTTGTCCGCAACCGGACTAACAGGATCCACAATTTTCTATCTGCCACTATCAACCTACTCAACTATCAACATTCAAACGAAGCCGCTACTTGTGAACTGAGGCAGGACGTGTGTCACAGCCATGGCCAGCTTGCACGTGACCGAGGGCTCCATCGCAGAGCCTTTGCCAAAACTTCTGAGCATCCCAGGTCCCTCTCTAAATCACGGTTCAACAGCTGTTCAAACATGATGGCTGGCTACTTGACCAAACGGCAATATTCATTACAATATCAACATGCAACATGTAACGTGTAATTATACCAATGTGCATACATGCCCACTATAGTAAAGTAGTTTACTTTTATGTCGACACATGAATACACACATACTGCACATACACACATGCATGCTAGGTGCAAACTCAAGCTGTTACGAACGTTCTCTCCGGTGGGTCCAAGTTTTGGTGGCCTTTTTCGGACCAATTGTACCACTTGCCGATCCAAGTTGCCGAAACAATTCGCTCAGTGGCCTGCCCAGTTCTTCTGGCGGACTTTCAGGATTTATCCAGTTATTCGCTCGGCTGCAGGAGTTGCTTTGCCCGGAGCCCTCCTGCCGCGCAGATTTCTCCTCACAGGCGCTGGCGGAGGTCCTGGAGGACAGCCGAAAGAAAAAGAGCAACCTGGAAGAGACCATGGTTCAAACAAGCAAGACAACCGGGCAAATCTGTTTTGGGCCTCGCCAGCTCTGTTGAATAAGTGGGTCAGTGATGTGTTTTGGTTTCGACCTCAGCATCAAGGACTCTGATGGTAAATTACCTTGGCCATCCTTGGCCCACAGTGACAGCCCCCAAAAGGACACCAATCAAGCTGGCCAGGTATTTGTATGGATTTGAAGAACTTCCGTGAGGGAACCACTGAGCAATTTTCAACCACTTGCTATAGCTTGTTCATGCGTCATATGTGACCAACCACTGATAGCCTCAACCACTATGATCCACTATGCTGAGAAGCCTTTACATGATCCTATGTGCTTGGTGTCTGGCGCCAGAGAGGAAGAGCAGTACGAACGTTGGCATGGCCTGAAGCTGCAACGGGTCCTGGTGTCGGAGTTGGAGGGGGCACCTTGGTGCTCAGAAGACCTTGAGATTTCCTGAGAGTCAACTTCTGCCCCAGATCGAATCCGCCAACCCATGGAATTTGTAGTGTTCGTCCGATTCCCTTCAGTAGATTCAAGACATGCAGCAGCATCAGCAGCAACACACCCCAGAACCCGAGGTAACAAGGTCGCGGTCCCACGGCAACCATGGTTGGGGCATGCCCCAAGTGGTACTTGCAGGGAAAATGCTGGCTGTAAGATCCCCAAGCAAAAGAGAGTCTGGACTGCCAAGACTAGAATACCGGCCTTTGCACACGCCAACAGCAATGTGTGACTTCATCCTACTGGATGCAGCATGGTTTGTTATGAAAAGACGCGACCGGGGCTGGTCGCCCCTTTTGGGTTGCGGTCACGATGCCGATGATCCTCCATTTGTCTCCCCGGTAATGTACGTTAAACTAAGATAGAAAAGGCTCCCAAGCCTTGCTTCCTTACCATTCCGAGTATCAAGCAAACACTATGTCACTATGACATATATCGAAATAAAGTAACAAAATCTATTTATAATCTAAAGGTTTTATCAAATCAAATCTGTTAAAATCGAATTCATATTCAATTTGTTTACAGTACAGTTTGGGTCTCGTTGCACCAACGCCTCAGCCCAGGTGGTGTTTTGCCCTCGCTGCGAAGAGGGGGGCCGCGAGACACCCGTGCTGCCCGACGAAGCCGTCGAGAACGAGCCGCCAGTGGCGCGGTGCGGGCGCTGTGAGTATGTGCAGCAGATGCATTTGAGGATGTTTTTTTTGGGAGGGGAGCTGTCCTTTTGTTAGGCACCATGAGGCGCCAGAAGCTGCGTTGAATGGGGCTGAGACTGCTCAATGTTTGGTTCAATGAAGCCCAAGTGCTGTAGCATGGTTGCACTGAACAAAAAAGCACCAAGATTTCTGGGCTCTACAAACAGGACTTCCTTCCAGCGCGGTGCGGGCGCTGCTAGACATGACTTACGATCACGAGGAAGTGCACAGAGGAAGTGCTCACGACATGGACTCCGGAGGGGCAGGACATGAACTCTCGCGGTATGGCTCAAAACGTTAGGCCCAGGGACCGGCACGTTTAAACGCAGATGTGTTCGTAGAATTTCATGTATGTGTTACAGTTTATATGTGTGTTTATTATATATTTTAGTTAATATTTTTGATGGTTATAGTGACCAGGGATGGACTACCATTATTCGGATGCCTTCTGGGGCACCTGACTTTCTCGCGACTTCTCAGGTCTTCTGCAGCAAGTGCTCCGGGCTCTACCATGGCCGCGATCCCTGCTTGCACCCAGAGGAGCGCGCACAGCAGGCGGCCATGCGGCGGCTGCAGGGTGCCTGCGGAGTGGCTGAGAAGCGGAAACTGCAGAGGGAGGCCACGAAGGGTGCCTTTTCGGCAGCACGGGGCATGAGGTGAAGTGTGGGGGCGATGGGCGATGGGGACCTGATGATGGGATAGAGTTCGGCCTCAGAGGAGACTTCCGAACCTCATTTTTCTCGAGGAATTCGGTCGACGAGAGGTGGCCTGTGCCTTGCATGTCGCAGCTTCGCTTGGGAAGAGTCGCATGAAGGGGACACATGGGCTGCTTGGCCCGAAGGGCCACAGAAGTGAAAACCCTAAAACTCCTGTCGGAAGGCCAAGCCTCCCCAGGAAAAAGACAGGGCTCCTGTCTTGTATATGTGGCTTAGACTGGCCCCAAGAAGAAATCTGGGCTGGCCAAGCGTGGTCATTTTGGATCTTGCACCATCGGTGGACTGGACACGACTCGACGCTGAAATGTATTCACATGATTTGGCCAGTCATTTTCTCGGTGTTCGGGGTGGCCTACTGCCGTGTTGGGAAGAGCTGTTCAGACGTCCTGAACCTCCATATATTGAGACGGGGGTGAGGTCTTCGAGTGGAAGAGCACATGGTTTGCGTCCACGTGTTGGATGATGTTTGTCAGTTTGTGTTCTATCATGTCCGGTAGTGCCAGTGCTTTCTTTGCCAAATTTGTGCACCCCTCCACTCACACCCACTCATACCCACTCATGTTCTTGCAAAAGAGAGCTGCAGGCAAGTACAACAATTCCCCAACAGAGCAGGTCATGGATTAGAACGATACCCTGCAGGCGGTGGGGCCCTACCTACAGCGTGGGTTTTTCGGTCCTTTCCTCAATGTTCGGGTCGCTTCCGTCCTTGACTGAGGCTACCTCGTGTGCGTCAGCGAGGGAGACGACCGGGGCGGCGTGAGGTTTTGGTCATGTGGCTATGAAGCAAACGTACAATCAGCCAAAGAAAACATCTTGCTGGGAATATACAGTTTCAGAGTAGGTGGCACAAACCCAAAGGATGTCTTTTATATGGAGGTCCTTGTACACCACCTGTTCGGGATTTTACCATCTACATCTACTCTCAATCATTAATCATTATCAAACCAAAATAACGTCAGGACATATCATGATGCAAGATGAGGTCTTGAGTCTTGAGTGACCGACACCAGTTGTGCTACACTTCGAAGAAGTGTCTTGCATGGGTTTGCCTTTAATGATTCGTGTTTGAAGACTTTTTTAGAATCTGCATAACCCAGTAGGGCTCCAAAGCCAGGCTAAACCAAGTATGAGAGACTTGTTGCCCAAAAAGACTGATTGCAATACATATCCTAGACTAAGCGAGCAGTGTTGCCCGCCACTCAGCCTGCGACGCTGCTTTGCAGTACATTTTACACAAACTGCCTATATTGCCACAGAGTTCCTGACGGCTTAGTGCACCCTTGGCGTTCTTCCCATGATCAGCGCCACAGAGTCTCAGAGGAGAAGACCTACCTTTGATTGATGCTGCGGGCTATGCCACTGAGGATCAGGACGGGCATCCGGGAGGAGCACTCATTGGAACATGTAGCCATTGGACATGAGTGGAAACCATGTCCATGTATGGGGAGACTATATAGTTAGAGTTAGAGACTGTTAGGGATATGGACCTTACGACAAAAACAAGCCAAGTCAAAACTGCCTGGGGGCTCAGCTACCATTGACATCGAGATTTCTTTGTGTGTGTGTTCGCCTTTTGACCCACTCGCAGAGGTCAAGCCCTGCGCCATCACATTTGCGAGATTCGTACAGTATAATTCATTTAATAGCCTGGGCATGCTGTCGATTCAATGTGTTTCTTATGGAATCATTCTCTTGATCAAAGATTCAAAGAGAGGGACTCCCGTCCAAACGCACAACTGGGAACAGGTGTTTGCTATCCTGCAAAAAATTAATGTACTAACCCACAGACGAGCTGTAAACCAAACACACCAGATGAAGAATAAGTTTCCCAAACGAAGATTCCATTCAGAAGGTCCTCACGTCGTCCCAACTTCAAGACCCGATCAGGTGTACCGTAATTAGTCCATGTAAGTCCCCTCCAACCCACCAAAAATCGACCTCAAACTCCAGAAGTCCTTGAAAGGACCTTTTCCTGCAGACTTCCACCGCTTCGGCGCCTGGTCCTGTCTGTCTTTTCGCAGGACCCCATCCTCGCTGGCGATTCCGTGAAGGCGGTCCATGCCGGTGTCCCCGAGCGGATCACGGCGAGCACCCTGTGGGAAGCTCAGCGGGACAACATCTGCAACCTGGGGCAAGTGCTCTTGGAATCGCCCAGGACGGGCGGACGCCGGGCGGGCGTACGTGGGGAGCCGCGCGACGCGTTTGGGGTGCGTGGAGCAACTCTGAGGCGCGCGGAGATGCGCGGGAGGATAGAGTAGAACTAGAGACGGATGTAGAGGAGGAGAAAGGAAAGGAATCTCCGTGTTGCTAAATGCTGCTAGATGAACACAAGTCATGCTGCCTTAGGCTTTTGGATGCCCAAAACTACTAGTAGTTCCCTAGTTTAATAGGTCCACCGGTCCTAACTTATTTGATGGGTTTCTCAGATCTATTTTCTATGGGGCGCTTCGGCAAGCGGAAACTGTTTCCTTCGGTCCTTGGGCGGTCAATCATTCGTCGCCTGAGTTGGGAAGTTACCAGGTGGCATGTGATCCAAGTGGATTATCATTGATGATATTGGCCACATTATGAAATGATAATCATCTATGTGTTTTTAAGTTGAAAAGATAGAAATATTATTTCATATGATATGATAATCATTTCAACTTTAGTTGTTTCCAGCCTGTGGTTGATAGATGTTATTTTTTCAGGCAATCCTTCTTTAGAAGCCAGTTCTACTTTGAGAGAATCTTGCACCACGTGGTCACAAACCCCACTCATGAAAACCAGCAGGTGCTCAAAATAACCACCAAATTAAGCTTCAATGTTGGTGGAGTCATTACCTGTATTAGTCGGTAAATAATGTTCACTATATTCGGCTTTACTAACCACCATCATCCACTGTTACAACGAATGGGATAGACAGGATAGACCCAATTGATATCCTTCATCCTGTGTCCAACTACACCAAAACCTGCAGCTGCCTGCGCTTCAGCCTGTTGCCCAGGCCCATCAGCATTCGCTTTCGCCGGGGCAACGCCACCCAAGCGGCGAATCGACTGAAGGAGCGGCGGCTGATGGAAGAGCTCTTGTGGCTTGGCGGCAAAACATGCGGCGGGGTGTGGCACATCGCCCAGGTGGGACAGCAGATCTTCGAAAAGAGACCGGTCTGACCCCAAGCAATGGAAAATGCAGGAACCAAATGACATAATGGCTCCAACTAGCGTTCGGTGGCGGTAAGATTTGCAGGGTGTTCACACAGTTGAGTTGAGCAGGTTCCTTCTCCTGACTAAGTCACCAAATGATGGCTGATGGCACTGATGGCGCAGGAGCGGTTGGTGCGGTTGCGGCTTGCAGGCCTTCAATTACTGTACCAAGTGGCACGATACAGAGGACAGTCCTTTGCGCAACCTCCTTGACTGGTTCTTGTTCCGCTGGTGCCATCGTTCATCACTCAAAACACCCGGTTTCCTACTAACCTCTATGAAATGAGGGGGGTATACCGGTATACCCTCCATATCTGGTTTTATGACACCTAAATCCTGGGGACGTCAAGTCCTGATTTTATAGAGAACACTGTTTAGATATAGGTCAGGTACACTCAAATTAGGACTTGATTGTTTCGGTCTGGTTCTTCAGATTAGGGTTCCCTTGGTGGTTGGTTCCACCCCCACCCATTCCCACACGGTTATCTAAAAACTGTAGGAGCAGGCTCCTTCCTAAACTGGAACTGTAGCACCCTAGGTGAGCACTGGTAACAAGATGTGACAAGGATGTGACATGAGGTGTTTGATCAGCCGAGCGACTGTTCAATTACAGTTGCCACTTTGACAATCCAAAGAGGCCCCACAGCAAGATCATAGGGTGGCCCCCCTTTTCCCACACACACACACATGTAGACAATACATCATGGCATCATGGCTTTGAGGCTGCCTGTTGCCCACTTGGCCATGTCTCCAAAATAGGGCACCACCCCAAACCCCCGCGGTACAAGGAGAGGTCGCCTAAAACCATGTGTGAAGTGTACGCTGTACACTTAGGTTCTTGAAAATGAACCTGTTTCATGTCACCCGCAACTCACCTCTCAAGCATGGGAGGGTTCATGCGCGCTGAAAAGGCGCGGCCGTGAGGATTACTGATCCTCGTGCTTTCTTTTTCGACACGGACTTCGTTCGCCGTGCACGACAAGTTCACATTGGTAGCGGAGCCCCATTCCGGGGCTCCCGCGAACTTTGTGTCTACTTGAACGAGGCCCTGCTTAAGACCTTTGTCACCTTCACTCTGCCGAGCTCTTCTGGCGCCTCGTGGAAAGGAGACCTTTCGGCTTAGGCTCCACCTCCTGCTGAAGACCTACGGAAGTGACAATGGCAGCAGCGTCCGCCGGGACTAAAGAAGTAGAGACACAGAACCTGCGCGACTCCTACGTCCCCTTGTTCTCGAACCAGCCCTCAGAGTACAAAGAGTACAGGAAACGCCTCAACCTCTATCACAAGAAGATGGTCATCAGCAAACGAGCTGGTGAGTCTGTGCTGAACATCCTCGGAAGCTTCAGCGGCGTGACCTGGAAACTCTTCGAGGATTATCCCGTTGAGGATGTGGAGAAGAGTGACGCCTTCAGCAAAATACTCGAAAAGCTGGACAAGAACTTTGAATATGACGACCGCGTCCTTCTCCCCAACGACTTTGAGGAGTTTTTCAACCTCATTCAGAGGAAGCCTCAGCAGAGTCTCCTGACCTACGTCACGGAGTTTGACACCTCCTATCGGAAGCTGATGGCACACAATGTTTCACTACCCGGCCAAGTCCAAGGATGGCATCTTCTCCGGCGTGCCGCCCTGACCAAGGAGCAACGCCAAATGGTGACTTTGAAAGCTCCAACGCTGGAAAAGCAGGCCGTCATCGATGCACTCTACCTCCTCTTCGGTCAAGACTATAAAGCGGGTGGTTGGAACAACGACAGAGATCGAAAGTTCGCCCGCTGGAAAGGTAGAGGCTATGCAGCCTATGAGGATGATGACTATGCCTGGCCATCCGACACTGCCTGGCCCGATGAGAGTGTCTACTATGAGGCCGATGAATGGGGACCTGACGACTACAACCCTGACGAGGACGAATCCTTTGACTATGACGCCATCTACTATGGTGAGGAAGAGCCAACAGAAGACCATGGCGAATCGACTGAGGATCCCTATGAGCTTGCCGAACAGTACGATCATGCCTATGCGACCTACCTTGATGCAAGGCAACGATTCCAGCAGCTCAAACTGGCTCGCGGATACCTTCCAGTGGTCGCCCTCACTGATGGTCAATCCTCTCCTATGGCGTCCAGCCCCTCGAACAAAGGCAAGGATCGCAGTCCCTCAAAAGGGAAGTCCAAGAGCAAGAACAAGGGCAAGGGCAAGAATGTCATCCGCTATCCACCCAACACTGGTGGCAAGGCAGCTGATCCTCGTGGCCGAGCACAAGCAACGACCTGCCTCAGATGTGGCCAACCTGGTCACTGGGCTGCACAATGCCCGCAGTCGGCTCGATCAAGTTCGACGGCTACCAAACGTCCTGCTCCTGGTCCAACAGAAGGAATGGCCGTCCAGACCGAGCATGCCCTCGTGCTCTTCCAGGACGAGTTCGGTGATGAACGTCCTGATGCCACGATGCTGGATCCTGGTGCCTCAGCCTTTCTCAGCGGATACGGTCCTTTCAAGCGATATGTTGACCACCTCAACTCCATGAACTACCCGGTCAACACGATCCGGTTCGCTCGATGCGAACGACAGTTCCACTTTGGCGGAGACGCTTCATCTCAAGCTCGCTGGACCGTGGATCTTCCGGTGATGTTGGATGGCAACTATGGCACGATCCAATGCTACCTGGTGCCCGGAAACACTCCAATGTTGATGGGACGACCTGTCATTGAGGCGCTCCACATGGGCATTGACTTCAGCCAGAAGCAAATCCGATTCGGCCGCTCTCCTTGGCAACCGGTCTTGGTTGGCAAGCATGGTGAATACCTACTCAGCCTTACAGCTGGAATGGAGCATGTGCCGGATCCTACGAAGAGCTTGTTCACCCTGCACATCGCAGAAGAAGTTCCTGGCAGCCACCTGCATCTGGAAGACTTTAACAACCTGGAACAAGTCTTCGCTGCCGATGAGCAAGTGCCTTCGGACAACAACCTCACCTCAGCCCGACTTCATCGACATGCCCTTCGCACCATGGAGGTACAGCTGACCACCATGATGAACTCCACTGAAGCCTACATCACCAATGAGCTTCACCAGCCTCCTGAACACAGAAGGGTGTTGTGGGAAGTGTACTGTGGCAAGGCCCGCACGGGCCAGGTCGCTGAAGAACTTGGCATGAAGGTCGAGCGCTTCTCCTTGGAAACTGGTTGGGACTTCAACCTCAAGAGCCACCAGCAACAGTTCCTACAGCGATTGGACGAGGAGGAGCCTGATGAAGTCCTTCTCGCACCTGAATGCAAAGTGTGGTCCCGCATGCAAACTTTGGCATGCAGAACGACGGCTCAACAAGAAGCCCTGGTCGCTCGAAGAGAACATCATCATCGTCGACACCTCTGCTTTGCCAAGCGCATCTTCCTCCGTCAGGCAGCAAATGGTCGACACGCTCACCTGGAGCAACCACGGCATGCTCTCAGCTGGAACACTCAAGCCTTGAAGGCTCTACCTGGCTACAACGCCGACTTCGACCAATGCCGCTATGGTGCTATGTGCTTGGACACTGATGGCCGATGGCGACCTGTCCAAAAGAGCACTCGACTGAGGACCACCAAGAAGGCAGTCCTGGAAGCTCTGCAACTTCGCTGCACTCATGATCACCAACATTGTCCCCTCGAAGGAGCAGCTCCTGGTCTTGGCCCTCGAACGACCTACCTTGAGGACTACCAACCTGGCTTTGCAGCTACACTGGCCGCAGCACTCGCTCAGCCTGAACCAGGCCAACTTTGGGACACCGCCTATGCAGTTGATGGTTCCGAGAAGAAGGCAACTGGTCATTTGCTCAAGCTTCAAGCTGAACACCATCAAGATGCTTTACGTGTTGTACAACGCTTGCATCGGAACTTGGGCCATCCGTCACCTGAGGCCCTAGCTGACCTGCTCCTGGCAAGAGGCGCTCATGCATCTATTGTTTCCGCCGCCAAGGAGTACAAGTGTGTCGCTTGCTTGAAGCACAAGAAGCCGAACCAAGTGGCTCCATCGTCCATGCCACAGCCGAAGAGCTTCAACGACACCATCCAGGCCGACGTCTTCTACCTGAAACCAGGTGATCGGAAGTTCTCCATCCTCAGCATCGTTGATGTTGGCACCAAGTTCATGGCTGCTAGCCTGGTGTTGGAGGAAACCTCTGAGTCTTACTCGAAGGCCCTGGAAAAGGTCTGGCTACGCCACTTTGGACCTCCTCGTGTCTTGGTCACTGATGAAGGAAGACCATGGCTTGGTGGCACCTTTGAAACTTGGACCAGTGCTGTTGGCATTGATCATCAAGTCGCCCCTGGAGAGGCTCACGAAAGACTCGCCCTGGTTGAGCGGCGCCACGCTGTTCTTCGACGTGCTTGCGAGGTTTACCTCTCAGACCGCAAGCTGACTGACGCCCATGGAGTGAAAGAAGCCCTGACTTATGTCATTCCGCAACAGAATGCCACTCCTTCAGTTGCTGGATTCACTCCGAGCCAATGGGTGTTGGGTTATCAACCTGAGTTGAGCCACCTTCTGGACTCCAACCTCAACGCTGCACAGCTGGCCGGAAACAACATCACGTTCGAGCAGAACTTGGAACGTCGCACCTCTGCACGTATGGCACTCACAAGCGCCGATGCTGACTCCAAACTTCGGAGAGCCTTGAGCAGGAAATACCAAGGTCAAAGTCGCATCTTCCGGCTTGGTGAACGTGTTTGGTTCTGGAGAGACGCCCGACAGAGCGCACTCAACAAGATTCGTTGGCTGGGACCCGCTCATGTGGTGCTACGTGAGGAAGACCCCGATGCACCTACTGAAGCCACCAAGGTCAACACCTACTGGCTCGCCTACAAGAGCCAACTCATCAGAGCAGCACCTCACCATGTCCGTGGCGACATCCTTGGACCACAGCACGTGCTGGACGACTTGCAAGCATCGCTCAACATGGTGCGTCAACTCAAGTCTCGTGGTGTCACTCGATACTACGACCTCCGGCGTGTCAACCGACAACAACTTGAAGATGTCGAAGAAGATGAGCAGTATGATGATCCTGACGGACCACTGCATGATGAATCTGAAGAACCACCTCGTCATCGACTTCGCCTGGAAGTTCCCGAGGCTCCAACAACCTCGGATCCTGTGGCGGAATTGGATGCCAACGAGTACGAGCCGACTTCACCGGCACACTCGAGCTTTGCACCAACAAGCCCAAGAGCACCTCCGTCAACCATGGCAGGACCACCGGCAGCACAACCTCCACCTCCTTTGGAGATGCCGACATCACCAGTGACCACCAGGTCCAGATCCAGAGCCCCAACAGTGGCTGAACCTAGTGAAGAGCCGATGATTCCCTCTGGACGTGAGACACCACATCCACCAGCAGAGGCACCACCGCCCCCGGCTCCAAACCCAAGACCTGTCTTGGACCCCACCACTGCCTCCTTGTATGAGACGGTTGATGCAGAGACATTCAGCCAGCGTCGTGCTAGATTCAACCGACAAGAGACGCTCAGCTTTGGACCACTCCGAAGCCTACGGCCACCACCTGCACAACCATATGAACTGCCTACACCATCGGCAGAACCAGTCAGCACGGAAGAGCCGCCCCCTGCAGCCAGTGCCGATCCCGACCTCTCAACGGCCGATCGAGCCCCTGAGCATGCATTGCTGAATCATGCCTTCCAGGTCACCGATTTGCAAGCCCACGGACTACCTCAAGGCTGGTCCTTTCATGATGGCTACTTCCACCTGGATAAACGGCCTCGAGACTACTGGGAAGTGAAAGCTGGCTGTCTCATTCGACATCATCTCGTGCCAAGGAGACACAAACTGTGCTTGCACGAGCTACCCAAGGACAGTCCCTACCACCACAACCAGCTTGATCAAGTCCGAGTCACCGTGATGTATGACAACAACGGCAAAAGCCATCAGATCACCGATGACGGCACTGATTCACATCCTATGGATCGCACCTGGACAGGACTCAGCATCTTCCAGATCAAGGGCGACATCCGACGTGATCTGGCCATGTATGCCAAAGCCCCACTACAAGGAGCACGTCAGATGGGCAAGACTGCCAAGATGCAGCACGCCAAAACCTTCAAGAAGGACAAGAACAAGAACAACCTCACAGAGCGTCACATGACGCCAGATGAACGTGCCCAGTTCAAGGCCGCCAAGGTCAAGGAATTGCAAAGCTTCTTCGACAACCAAGTGTGGCAGTTCGAGACCACCCATGAAGCAGAGCCCAGCCGGACTTTGACAAGTCGCATGCTGCTCAAATGGTCAAAGAATCCCGATGGAAGTCCAAGGGCGAAGGCCCGTTTGATCGTCAGAGGATTTCAAGATCCCGATGCCTGGGAGGGCACTCTTCCTACATCCTCTCCAACGACGACCCGGCTGTCGAGATCTATGTTGCTCAGCCTGGCTTCCACGATGAACTGGCCAATTTGGACTTCAGACATTGCCACGGCTTTCTTGCAAGGCAAACCGCAAAGCAGGAAACTATGGGTACAACTCCCAAACGAATGCCTGGAACTGCTTGGAGCATCCCCCGACACACGGATGCTACTCCTGAAGCCCTGCTATGGTCAGATAGATGCCCCAAGAGCTTGGTACCTGGCCGCCGTGGACAAGCTGAAGGGCATGGGGTTGAAACAACATCCACAAGATCCCTGCTGCTTCCTCATGTATGAAGGCGAGCTCAACCCTGAGTTTGACCCTGCTGCACCGGCACCGCACTTGTTGGGCCCGCATGGTCTTTGTGGCATGGTGACCATGCACGTGGACGACATGCTTGGTTGTGGCTCCACCACCTCGCAGTGCTACAATGACACCCTGGCCAAGCTCAAAAGCTCTTTCACCTTCCGTGAATGGAAGACAGGTGATGATGGGAAGCCCCTGACTTACTGTGGCTGCGACATCTACCTCAATGAGGACGGAAGCTTCATGCTCAACCAAAAGAGCTATCTTGGCAAAGTGAAGCCAATCTCCTACGACCGGAAGCGCAACCTCACAGAGTCTTTGAACCAAAAGGAAATCACACAGCTGCGTGGCTTGCTAGGTTCCTTACAATGGCCTGCAGTGCAATCTAGCCCACACCTACAGAGCAGTACATCCATTTTGAGTGGCTATGTCAACAAAGCATGTTTGCAATCTGTAGCCGATACCAATCGTCTACTGCGTTTCGCTAAGGAGCATGCTGATGTTGGTTTGCACTATTCCCATCTGGGCCCTGTTGAGGAGCTTCGCATGGTGTGTTTTTTTGATGCTGCATTCGCCACAAGGAGTGATGGTTCATCACAAGCTGGCTATGTGATCATGCTGTTGCACCAAAGCCTGCTTGAAGCGAATGGCCCTGAAGGCGCCTACCACATCCTCGACTGGCGCAGCATGAAGACACCGAGGATTGCTCGGTCATCGCTTGGCGCGGAAGCTCAAAGTGGAGGACAGGCATGTGACGCCCTCGAACATGCCAGCATCTACTGGAGTTTGCTCATGGACCCTCGGCAGAGCTTGCAGCACGTCTTGAATGCCCCGTCGCTGTTGGCCCCAGTCATGGTCACGGACGCCAAGGCTTTGTTCGACTCCTACCACAGAGAAGGTGTGTCAAGTTCTGTGGTCGACAAAAGGGTCTCTTTGGAGATCAAGGTCATGAAGGACCGCCTCAGTGCTTTGGGCGGCAACCTTCGGTGGATGTCCTCCGAACGACAGATCGCAGATGGTCTGACAAAAGAGGCTGCACGGCTTCTCCTGGCACAACGACTTCGTCATGGTCGACTCAAGCTGGTATGGGATCCCTCATACAAAGCCGCGAAGAAAAAGACGAAAGAAGAACTTCAGCAGAGCCGACTGGAGAGTGTTCAGGAAAGCCCCAAGGTTCAGTTTGAGGACGAGAGCATCAGCCAGCCCGACAACCTGGACCCACACGAGCCCTTTGAGACTGAAGAAATTGAGCACAATGTTGATGAGCACCTGCTTGATGAAGACCAGGACCCAACGAATGAACAGGTCCTTGAGAATGTCATGTGTGCTCGCACCGATGACGCCATCGTGTATGTCAACCGTAGGTCCAGCCATGTCGTGCCTGGCCGCTTGACTAAGCCCTGTGCAGGCTTCATGAAGTACCTCCTCCAGCTCCTTTGCTTGGTTGTGATGGTTCCCCAGCTAGTTGTTGGCACCGACCTCACCACCGAAAAGAAAGAAGAAGTTGACTTTGTGGGAATGATTTTGTTCACCGGCTTCCTCATGGTCATGAGCTCAGCATTCCTGGCTGGCCGTTGGACCCGCCAACCTGGACGCCCTGTGGTGGCAGAAGCTGCAGTTCAAAAGGACGAGTTGGTGATTCACTCCCGCCTTCGTGAAGAGCTGGCGAAAGCAAAAGAAGAAGTGTCTCTATGGCGCAACCGCGCTGTGCAGTTCAAGTCCTCAGCTTCTGAAAGTCGAGCTGCTGCTGACATGGTGCTAGCGTACCAGTGCACAGCAGAGAACCTGCTGAGCGAGGCCAATGATCTCCTTCGCATGTGCATCAGGCAGATGGATGAGCACTCCAACGACTGCCCCTTTTACCAGAAGATCTGGATGTCAAGGCATGGTCATCGATGGCATGCCACTCCTGAATGCACCTCTCTGGTTGGTCGAGAAGCATCGTCCTTTCGGATGATTGAGAGATGCCATCTGTGCAGCGTCCGCATGCTGCCACCGGATCTGACCGATCCACGAGAAGGAGAGCCCGCAAGGGTGCTGGTTTTTCGCTGGCTGGACGCCTACGAGCAGCGACTTTTAGACACATGAGGAAAAGAACTTTTTCCCCGTGTGAAGTGTACGCTGTACACTTAGGTTCTTGAAAATGAACCTGTTTCATGTCACCCGCAACTCACCTCTCAAGCATGGGAGGGTTCATGCGCGCTGAAAAGGCGCGGCCGTGAGGATTACTGATCCTCGTGCTTTCTTTTTCGACACGGACTTCGTTCGCCGTGCGCGACAAGTTCACACCATGTGTTTCCCAGTGCCCCATTCAGGGTCAAGGCACGTGCCCAAGGGACCTCAACTGTGCCCTGAACATCGGTCCGTTGAGGTGGCCCACATCCAACTCGATGACACTCCCTGGAACTAACATGGAAGTGGAGTTCACCGCCATGTTTTGTAGAGGATTTCATGGTATTCCAAGTGGCCATGACATGGGGCTGTGCCACCGTGTGAGTTCCAGGGGCGCACAGCGACCGAGACAGCTCTGAGGACACTCAAGGAGATTGCCCGCGAGTCGCAAGTGTGCCCTAACTGCCACGTCCGGGTGCAGCGCAGCGCTGGGTGCAATCACATGACGTGCACCCAGAACTGAAAATTGTGCGGTGTGTTTTTGGTGTTGGGGGTGGGGCCCGCCTCTATACTGAAAGGATTGATTTACTGTAGATTGATGGTCTTCACTCCCCAAAAGCTCTGTCAACAGATGCACGAGATGTTGGGCATAGACTTAGATTCACGAGATTATGCATATTACATCATAGTATTATTGCCTTTTTGATATGCACAGATTCACCAATTTCACTTTCACGAGGGCAACCTGTCGCATTCACCTTTCCTTGTTTGACCATGCTTTTGAGCCTTTGGCGCTAGTTTCATGGGCTGTTTTGCCTTAGCAGCTTAGCATGCCATAGACATTATGTTCCAGAGGACCTTCTTACTCCACTCACTGATGCATGACTTGCACCTAAGTTTCTTGCCAATGATTTCGTCCAGTATCATTGCTTGGGGATCCAGGCAGACCGTTTGGGATTTGGCGGTGCTTGCTGCTACTTGTTTCAAAGCGTCCTTATTTGGATCCCCAGCCACTGTGCTTTCGGAATTTTCTTGAAGCGTTGGGCACACCTCGTTTGTCTACGAAAAAGACTCTCCGTTTGAGATCTTGACAACAGGTTGACTGTCTGAGCGACACATTTGAGTAAACCGATGTCGTGAACTGGCATAGTTTGGTACAGAATGTTTTGAACTTGTTTTTTTCATGAACCGATATGCCTCAGGCACCCGGTGCAGAACCCACTTCTGCTACAGTGGCCCGGTGTGGAGTGTGGGAGACGTGGCGCGTAGGTAGGCTCTCAGCAATCATCAGCCGACGACCTGACCAGCTCATTAGGAGTCCTCCATGCTATTCCTCTACAGATCTACTACAGTCTTAGTCTTTGGAACATCTTTTCAACCACTGGTTACCATGCAGTGCATGTATGGCCTGGATCCACTGGGCAGGCCCCCAGGCCCCTCCCGCTCACTGGATCCCGCCACCGAGACTCGATCACGGCGGCATCGACGGCGATGACTCACGTCGATGACGCTCTGAGGATGTGGGAAGAAGTTGGACCCCGAAATGCCCTACAACCACTTTAGCGCCACCGGCTGCACCACCTTCGACACCGAGGAGGTGCGACGCATGGCCATGCAACAGCGAGACCGCCAGGGACAAGGCGCCCCGCCAGGGACGCCGAGACGGCAAGGCTTCGGAAGTCAGGAGCCCGAGCCGAACGGTGTGTGGTGCTTCGGTCCTGCAAGGTTCATTCCGTGTTCAGTGCTTTTTGTAATGACGGTGGAGTGGCGGACACACCGGTGGGTCGCGGAACAAAAGAGACCCGACTTGGATGTGTAACTATAGTCCTGCTAACTTGATGCAACTCTTTTCAATTCACCAGACATGTTTGCTTTAAAGAGCCGGCAAAGGACAGCTGTTGCCTTTGTTCGGCATGTTTGGGCGACTCATTGGCACATTGACTGATTGACTGACGGTTTCAAACTTGATCACGGTATATGGCTCTTTGGTCCAACTGGGAGACCTTGGTTGACCACCGAAAATGAACAGAATAGACTTACAAGGGAGTCCAGGAGGTCAACATACCAGGGATTAGGGCTTCCTGGGTTTTGACCCACAGCCTGTCGCCCATGTTCAAGGCACCCTGACACCAAGCCTACATGACCCTAGCCAGACCATCCATGTATGAATAGTTATATATATATACCTATAACTAACATTACATGGATGGTCTGGGCTAGGTGACACCACACCACTTGAGATATCTTATGAGCATAAGACCTGGGTCTCTTCAATTCGGCATGTTCTTGGAAGGTTGGGGGGTGGAATTCACAAAAATGGGGCGCAGATGACTTCAATTCGAAAGACATACAGTAAATAAGGTTGGGAGAAGCGAAGGCCTCCACTCTCCTAGCGATGGCCTCCAACCTAAGAGCAATGGCCTCCAACTTGGCAGGTCGGGAGGGCACATGAGAAGTCATGAGAAGCACCGGGTGGGGCGTTTCCTTGCCCACGAGGCTTCATCGATGTGGAGCTGGAGCGGCTGCGGGAGGAGTTTGGGGAGCAGAGGGACCTCTTCGCCCAGTTCGAACGGCAGCGGCCCGGGGTGAGGCGTACGAGTTGGGTTGGTGGTGGGTAGTTGGCGGTTGGTTCAGGAAAAGGGTGTGACATGGTGTGACATGAGTATCTCTTTGATTCTGGCTCCACATGGTTGAATGAGATTCATGGTAGGAACAAAGGGCATCGCTACTAGCAGTGCACGCTCCGCGGTCCAACCGCTCGCCAGGCCCGAACGAGCGGTGCGCCTGGGCCGGCGGAACATCGCGGATCGTTTGCGGAACGGCGAGGTGCAGTGCCCGAGCTGCGGGCAATGGAACGGCTGCTTGGAGTAAGGAAGGATATGAGGAAGGGTGAAAAGAGCTTTGGGCATCAGATGGGTGATGGGTAGGTGGGATATCAGATGGGATCAGATGAGTAGATGGCATGATTGTAGTATGGATCCCTTTTTCAAACTAGCTTGTGGGCGTGTGCAGTCCACTAGTGCTTTGAACAGAAACAAGCTTGAGCATGAAATTGCTTTTAAACATCAGAACGGCAAACCTGGCTAGGAACACCAGTGGCTCATGGAAATCCACATGACCCCCCAAACACATTGGAATCGGGACACAATACGAGACATGCCATTCACTTCTATGCGAGGTGTCCGTTTGTATGTTGCGTGGACATCCCCTGCGTCAATATGTTGTTGCTGTGCTTTCGCACCCATGACAAGCGTTCAAGTTCCCCAGCATGTTAATTGATTTGGTCGACTCAGGAGCTGCGAAATCTTCTAACTCGGATCCCCAGCTTCAAGTTTCTCATACTTTTGGAGTTTGCAGTGATTACGCAAATCGAGAGAACTCAAAAAATTCTTGTTGAACAGGAAGCCGTGAAAGGATCTAGTTTGGTACAACTGTTCTGGCCCAGGATCACTAAGTGAGGTCGTGTGGGTGGGCTGAACCACATCCGCTGTGGCATGTGTCGCGGCTCCTACTGCGGGCACTGCCGGAGGCGCGGACAGAGTGAGCTACTAGTACCGCGAGATCCAACCCCAAACACACCATGTATGGTATCAACACATGAATCTACGTTGGGGTTGTTTTGGAATGTTTTTTGGGGGTCAATGTGGTAGGTGATGTATACACATGGCACATGGGGCATGTAACGTAGGATCATGTAGGAAGGCTCGGACATCTACTTCCGCCAAAACACCAATGGTGCCAGATCCTTTTGCAAACCAAATGCTTTCCTTTTGAATCTGTGTCATGGACTTCTTGAAATCACTGTAGCTAAGCGGGTAAGGTCAGGGGTGGTTATGGTTAGGAACCCAGCAGAGTGCCTGACAAACAGACACTGACCATCGCTGTGAAAAGCCATGGGGGTTGCTGGGAGACCATTGGCATTTGCTCAGAAGGATGGGGAGCTGAGCACAGCTGGGCAGACCCCGTTTTGATAAAAATGGGAGAGAGAGGGAGAGAGACATGCCAAACTCAAGCACTTTGGAAAAGTTGGATGGGTAACTGTGGGTACTTGCTTCAGCTTGTTTCAGGATCGCCAGATCCTCAACTGAAAAATCGAGTATACTGTATACTACTACTGCTGCTGCTGCTGCTGGTGCTACTGCTGCTGCTACTACTACTACTACTGCTCCTCCTACTACTACTACTACTATCAGACCCTGCAGTAGGAGGTATTCCATGCTCCACATACGCTGAATCGGAGGCGGATCCAGGGCGTGATCACGCAGCATTTCCGTGGGGAGCAAGCGTGCCCTCAGCACATGCGCGTGGAGTGATCCGTCTTTTTTTTTGGTCTCGGAGGTGAGACACGCAACAAGTCGCCAGGAAACCTTGGTAGCCCCATCCGTGAATGCGTCAAACAACTTCTGCAAAGAGTTACCCCTGGCTGTTTTCTTGGGGCCCAAGCATCAAGGCCAATCAAGGCCATTGGTTCTCAACTGCCATATCAACGTTTCTCATTGTGGCTTTAATTTTGCCATACATGGGCACTTCATTGTACGTAGCTGGATTTGGCGACTGGGGATGGCCCGAAATCGGGCAACCAATTGTGCAGCCCCCCAGTCCCGACTCCGAGACAAGGTCCCGGAAGAAGGTTTCAGCACAGTGATGACAATCCTGTGTAGAGAGACGCAGCCAGGCGCGCGGTCGTTTTCAGCGCAGCCAGAAGCATGAGTTGAAAAAAGGAGCGAAGGCCGGCCTCTACAAAGTACATCGAAGTACCAAAGTTTTGGTGAACATGGAGTGGTGTGACCCAAGCGGGTGGATTCTAAGAATTCCCCACCCCCTGCTAGAGGATCAACCTTTTCTTGAGCCCTTTTGTTCCCGTTCTCACGTTATCACTGATTCCTCGTCATGTTGTGGGGCAAAACTGTACGGCAATCATTCGTTGAGGAGGGGAACACCCATGAACACACATCATGAGAAAATTGAAACATTGACCCCTGCATGACCACTCTCCCACTATCAATATGCAACATCTTTGATTCTCCGTGGATCTTTTTGCTGCGGGTGTCTAGAAGGCACAAGTCCATGCTTCGAAGCACCTATATTTAAATCTGATTCCACTCACTTATTAGATGATGGTTTAATACATATATATATATATATGTATCCCAGACACTCATGGGACTGCCATAGGACTGCCGTGCCTACATTGGGGTGGTTAGTTTTGGGGGTTCTATGGCAGTCCCATGTGTCGTGTCTGGGTAAGCCACTCGCTCCAAGGCTCGGGACTCGAAAGGCTCGCCGGGAAGGCGCCGATTCCCGCACCACGGGCGCGGCGTAGCTAGGGGAGAAGAGGGACGCCATGGGATGTAGGGGGTAGGTAGGGTATATGCACAAGCTATGGACAAGCTTTGTTCATCCATTCTTCATGGTTTTATCATCCCATCTCGTGCCGTTTCCTGTTTTCTGACGATCTTGAGGTTGAGAGTGGGGTGTTTGGGTTTCTTGGGGTTTGCTCGGGATACCATGGACCATGAGCCCTTACTCATCTCGCAGAGGAGTCCACTACTGTAGTTGAAATCACCTATACTAATTACTGTAGTTGATGAATGAAATGTAGGCAAGCTGACAGGGGGGAGTTCAGCACCTTACAGTGACCTAGCCAGCAATGCTGCACTGGCTTCTCAAGGCCTTGCTGTTGCGATGTCACCCCACCAGATGTTCGCCGTCACCTTCAGATCAGTCGGAAGCGCGGAACACGAACGTCACATGAGGCGGAGATCGGTGTCCACGTGCGGCCGCCCAAAATCGGAGCCCAGCAGACCCCGTTGGGAGCGCCATGAGGGCCGCCCTAAGCAGACTTCTGGAAGAAGGAAGTAGACCAGAACCAAAACCCAGACAGAATGCAATGAACACGGGAAAGACTATGGAGCGTATGAAGAACTGGCGGGCAGCAACCAATTCACGTTTGGCTTTTCCGAGTGAAGGTTCACTTGGGGGTTGGCATGGTGGCACACAAGGCACACGTCAGATGCGGAGGGCGCTTCAAACTGAAATCAGTGTTCCAGTCGTATGTAATGCTTCTAGGTGTTTGATGTTCTAGGCCATGTCGGACGTTTTCACCCCTTCACCATTCCCATGCTGTCCGGGTGCGGTATTTTCTCTGCTAAGAGCAGTAGCCACAACGTGCCACAGCTCCGAATAGTGCCCGCCCAGTCACGATGTCCCCAACTTTGGCTGAGCGACGTCCATGTAAAAAAGGCAATCAATCCAAAGTCTACATCAAAAAGGCAGTACTGTTGATGATAATCCGGAACCAGTTAGACAGTAGTTTCGTTTCAACAGATCAGTCACCAACATTTTTTGAGTCAAACAGTTTCCAATTCTTGAACGTGGGAGACCCACACTCCAGGCCCAGCTGCCCCAGCAGGCTGGGCGGGAGGAGCTAAGCGAGCGAAGAGCGAATTGGCACCGCATTCAGGAGGTTCCAAAACCACTTCCCACGCACAAAACAGGGCGCCAAGAACGTGAAACACGATGCTTCGCACTGCCTTGGGGGGTCATCATATACTTATCCTGAGCCGCATTTTTTCGCAGAATGATGTCCCATTCAGGGGCCTGGAGTGGGCTGTGCTCATGCAACCCTTCCTGGGCTCGAGCCTAGTCCGGATGAAGTCCTCCAGGGTCCACGTGTTCCTCGAAGTCAGGTCTTCCAGGTCCATGTGGGTCAGGCTGTTACCGTTACCCCTCCCAAGACACTGCTCAACGGTGACTTCGTTGCACTCTTCAGTGGGGTGTGACCACACAGCCGAGGACCCGGAGGGGAAAAAGAAACTGGCCTGGCTGTACAGGTCGAGAGCTTCCAACAGGTGCATCCCACTTGGTGCAGGAGTTGCCCGCTCTATGTGACCCACCTTCCTCTCCATCCAGAATCCTCGCAATCACCCCCGCCCCAGACCGTGCGCGGCCTCTGCGTGCCGCCACAGGCGTACCTCAGTCCCTGCTTCGCCCTCACCCTTCAAAGCCACGCCCTCTCCAGCCAAGCCACGGCGCCTTTGGGCAGGTCCGGGCCTGGAAAGATGGCATGGCGGGGGCAGATGGACCTGGTCTAAGATGGAAGAGAAGGAACCGACCCCAGAAGAGATGGATCCTGGAAGACCTTGAACACAGCCGCACTCCCAAGTCTTGCCAACACCTCGAGCCCAAAGAGTCGAAGAGAGTCCGAGTCCGAGTCCCTGCATGAGTCTGAGTCCGAGTCCTGGATGATTCACCGGATTTGGAATGAATCTTCCAGCTCACTCGATCACAGCGCTTCAGGTGGACCCAAGATCAGCCCCAACGCCAGCCCGGCGAAGGCGGGCTTCTGCGCACCGCTGCCCTGCGGAGGTACGAGAACGTGAAGTTTGATTCATCGCAAGTGAAGAGCCACGCCATGCCACGCCAGACTCAAGAAAGCACATGCCAGAGTAGATTGGGAGAAGGATGATGGCCCACCAATCGCGCCAGTTGTGTTTATATATATATACTGTAAATAAAATTGATCTTATATATATAATTGGTTCATTCCACGCGGTGCTTGGTATTCCCTGCTCTTCTTGTGGTCAACCAGGTTTTCTGCATGAGGGGTAAAAAGGAACTATCAATTCATCCATACTTCCATGAGCCTGCACTGGCACTACACCTGATGTGTGGCGGCAGCGGGGCAGCATGTAAGGGAGATAAAGGGATAAGCAGACCCCTTGATGGTGTGAGAATTGGTTGTCTTTTGGTGTCATACAAGTTCTTTCTTCGAAGACTCGAATTGTTCCTTGAAATCATCTCAAGACACGAGCTTTTCAGTTGGCATCATCTCAATTTGTAGGTTCTTGATGCTGGTGAGAACATCTTGAATGAATATCTACAGCAATTTTTCCGATCTTTCCTGTACATAGTAGTAACAAGAAGCCACTTTCCGGAACAGTTCGGGCATCGCTCGCTACACACGGAGCGATCGGACGCTACGAACGTAGCGCTAGTAGCCCAGGGCACTCCGCCCTGCCGACGACGGAGCGCCTCGGAGGGGCGCCTCACTGCGACCGGTGAAGGCCACCGGTGACGGAACG